AATGGATGTATATGTAAGTACTCTACGAACCCCGCAGCGATCTTCTAAAACGGATGGGACCACAAGCTCTGAGCCCTGAAGAAGGGGTGTCTGTTACTCCCTGGTCTAGATTCCGGCTTAGGTTCTCTCTCAGAGGGTAGAAACCGCGCATCCGAATCCTGTCAGGCCAAAATCGATATGCCCTAGCCCGCGCACTCGCGAATTCGACATCCCCGGATCTAGCAATGCGCAAGCAGAAGAGCATGCTATTTCTCTGAGGCTTGATTGAAGGGATCTATAAAAGGTTACTGAAAAAGGCCAAAAGAAAGGAAACTACAAGGGGGATACCAGTACTAGTTGTTCCGACCCCCTCTAATTATTACATCAACCCGACTTAGGGGCCTCTGTTTATCATCTTGCAAGGCTTTTTGGCTCAAATGACGTATATACAGCCTCATAAGTTTAGGGCTTCGACTTCCTAGAGTTTCAGGTTCAGGGATCGAGAATTCAGTCGGACCATGCTAGACCCGAGCGCTTTGGGGATCTTTCTTTTAAGGGTCTAGGGGTTAAGCTAGGGTTTAGGATTTAGTGGCTTGCGGTTTCGGGATCGGAATTTACCTGAGACCCGAATCCCGTAAAGCCTGAACGAATGCCTAAACGAACATGTGCCCAGACATTCTATACATCAGTCTATCTATCTACCTACTTATCTATCTATCTGTCTATCTGTCTATGCATCTGTATATGTCTGCACGAATACTCGTTATTGCTAGGTAAAAGTATACATACAAGAGAGTTAACGACACAAAAATGGTTCAATATTGACACGCAGCTCAAACTCCTACTACCCGAAACCCTAAACCCTGAGCAGGGTTGCCCTCAGACCCTACACCCAGGTTGATCCGAAAGAGCAAGATCTGTCCTGCAAAAAAACCATGGAATCTTGACAGTCTAACTCAAATTTGGGCCTTGGATGTCTCAGCCGAGTCCGCCTGCTTGCAGGAACGATTTAGGGCTTGCCTTCCCAGGCGCAAAAGGTGTTCTGCCATATTGTCGTCCCATTCCACAAGCCGCAGGTAAGCTGTATGACCCGTATCTGGTTTAAACCTGATTCTGAGACTCGTGTCTGCCGTGCGGTTGCGCTGCGATAGATGTTTGGGCTAAGCGTTGGGCATTTCGTTCATTCTTGGGGTTACAAGGTTCGAGATCCGCAGCGGGATCTCTTGAAAGCTCACTGGCCGAACGTATAACATCGACGATGTAAAGCCGTACTGGGCAAATGACACGGAGCACAACCGCAGTACTGAAGCAAGAACGGAGTCTCAGCTCGCCCGTCCTTATAATGCTTGAAGCAAATATACTAGTCAATACATATATAATCATGTATACATGGCATGTGAATATACATAAACACGTATGTACACAGATGAATATGTGTGTGTATGCGGGTGTGCATCTATATGTATATACACATACATAAATATAAATACATAAACATATATATATATATACATATATGTGTGTGTGTATATACATACACTCACGTACAGATACATGCGCATGAATGCATACGCATGCAGCTACATACAGATATCATACACCCAAACCCCTCAAGATTGCAAAGGACTCTCTTTACACTCTAGGAAAGTCGGGTCTGGCTTTCGAAGATAATTCCCAGAAGACAGCCCGCCCCAACAAAACATGAATCAGAGTACCAAAAAGGGCTCTAAATTTGCAGAACCGGGTTCTACAAAAGCGTAATTAGCTGTCAGGGTTGACTCGGATTGACGATTGACGCTTGAGGCCCAAAACCCAACCCCCAAGAACTCCAAAACCCGACCCCTGAACTCGGAAGTTCCACACTTAGGGATTCACGTCTCTCTGTCAAATGATTAATGGTAAGCTCATACTTATCTTGCGGGTCTGGGGCTTGGGAGTCCCATTCACATTGTGCACAATGGCCTGCCCGAAACAGAAGCCACCCAGATGCCACGAGGAATCGGCCTGGCATGTGCAAAAAACTAAAAATTCTTTAGCACTTTGGGGCTTATGAATTTAAGTAAGCGTAACAATTCAAAGACCCTGCATGTTTTCTATGCCTACGTCTTCATAGAGGCTTTCAAAAGGACGTAAGGCGGATTTTATGTCCTGTACGTTGTGACTCTCGATCATATGGGCTTTAGAATCTTTAGAAGGTTGGCAGTCGCGAATTAAGTTCTGTGCTTGGCTACGGGTCCGCTATTTACGGTGCGCACGACCCTCGACCCTGAACAGTCACGAACACCCTTTGGAAATCTTTGAATTTCGTGGGAACTTATGGAATCTTTTTGTTTGTTGTGATTGCCCCCTTTTTTCCAGGCTTTGCATGGGCTGATCTCTTGGGGTAGCTTGTCAAAAAACGAAACAACACCTGTACGCTGCTTCTCCTCAGGATTCAAAGATTTGAACTTCTTGGTGTGGGTCACTCCGAGGAACTGTTGCATGGGCGTTTGCGCAACCGGCCATGCGAACATCAGCAATCACTTCCACTATTTAGGGCCGTCACCCAATCGTCACGATAGTTGCATTCTGATCCCGGCAGGCATTCCCCTTAACCCTAAACCCTAAACCCTGATACCGGGGGCAAGCACACGCGCCCACATGCCAAGACACGCTCAAGATGCCGATGCGCGGAGCTCCGTCATTTCGTGTGGGTGTAGGTCCAGTAGTTTAGGGTTTAGGGTTCGGACTCAAACTCAAAGTGGTATCAGACACAGCGGAGCAAGCAACTTTCTGGTTGTCGTGATGCCGAGTGTGTGTATCCCCATTAATCTTAACTCATCACCAGTTGAAGCATGCCAGAGCCACAACCCGTATGAACTATGCTGCAAGCTTCCGGTTCCGAATCAAAAAGCCAAGGCAAAGGAGATTTTCAATGATCAGGATGAGAACTGTGGAGTCAATGTGCCAAGTGAAAAAGTCTGTCTGTGTCGCTTTCGAACGCAGTGATGAACCCACGAGGTGCTGGTTGAAATCTAAGCGGACTTGAGTGAGCTTTTGAAACTTTTCTTTGGTAGAGAGATCTCTAGCAATAGTAGTAGTAGTAGTAGTAGTAGTTGTTGTTGTTGTTGTTAGTAGTAGGTAGTAGGTGTAGAGTAGGACTAGGAGTAGCTGAGGTAATGGAACTTGTAGTTGTGGTAGCAGTACCTATGCCGCGGGCAACCCTCAACATCAGCGTCATAAGCTGCAGTGACAATCAGCATCCCTCATCATCATCATCATCATCATCTTCATCATCTCTTTCGTCTACAGATCGTGCGTCTTTACCGTTCGAAGGGGGGGGGGGTTTGCTGGGTTGAATAGACGGTGAGCAGACAAAATGGGGCTTGGGTGTGAGGAAATCGGGCGTACGGTTGAGATCCTGAGCGCCAGCATCATTAGGGTTCACCTACAACATGAAATCATGGATGAATGAAAGAACTAATGAATGAATGAATGAATGAATGAATCAATGAATCAATGAATCAAGGAATGAATGAAGCCCTTCAATGTTTTGCTAAGAGCACTGAGGGTCTGCAAACACTTTGTTCGCATCCTGCCTGCAGTGTAATGTTGGCCTCCAGCTTTGCATGCGTCCAACCTGAGCAACACCGAGACTCCAAATTACTACTACTACTACTACTACTACTACTATACTGCTACTGCTACTGCTACTGCTACTGCTACCACCACTACGACGACGACGACTACTACTACTACTGCTGATACACTCAAGGCTCAAAGTTGAACCGCTATGAATACCGGCACGACCGGTCCCATTTGGTTTGGGCCGTTTGGGGGGGAAACGGCATGTCGTTTTGGCGTGTTAGGTGATAGCAGGGACGTCAGCAATTGCTCGAATGTGTAATGTGCCTGTACACTTCGGCCAATATCGGCCGGAATGTTAGCACGCAAGCAGAAAGCAGCAAGTGCCTTGCACCGCTTTGCCAGCAGTCTGCAAGCATATCCGCATATCCACAGGTCACACCTATGGAGGTGTGTGTAACTACACTTAGATACACAAGCATATTACGACTTAGTCATATGATGGGGAGGAACAGTCACAAGGCCTGCGGTCATGCTGGATGCAGACAACCGAAAGACAATGCAATTCTCAGCTGCTCTGCTGCCTTCCAGCAGGTGCAATCTCCAACTCCTGCGAGGGAGGTGTCCGAGAAGCAGGTGGAAAATCACAAAGACTCAGCCGAGAAGTCAGAGGAGCACCCGGAGCAGCAGATCAACTTGCGCATCCCTGCAGGTGGGACTCACCAGAGACCCCTACTTTTAAGTAATCGGCGGTCACCACAAAACCAAAAGAAAGAGACTGCTGAGCTCCTGAACCATCGAGGCTGGTCTCGCAGACCCGTGCAGAGAGCTCCTGCACGCTTTGAGTGGTGCCGCTTGGCCGATGGGACGGGCGAGCTTAACACTTAGTAGCTGAATGAGTACACTTTAAAAATTTTCGGATAATATAATCCCTTATAGTATAGAACTGAAAGTGTACACTGTTTTGTGCTTATGAACTCAGCAACTATTAAAATCGGCAACCTGTCAATGCCACTAGCCATGGGACCTTCTCAGAAGGACCCGCGAGTAGGTGCCCCTGATTCCAATAAACTCTGACACACGTAGGAGATCTTGCGCCGTTCATTCAGATTTCCGCCGTATTCACTTCCAAAACGTGTCATGGAATATGTAAGGTCTGGCAGGGAATTTGTTTGGAGGTTCAGTCACAACTCCCTTGCTCAAGCTAGGCGTGTCGACGAGTTAATGACGCAGGGAAGCACTTGACCTTGATGTGATTCTGCAAAAAGGTCTGGACAGCATGTCTGAGGGCAACCCATTCGTTACCTGGCCGCAAGTATCACCGTCTGCATCCTTCGTTGCACTCGGTCCGTTCAACAGAATTGAACTCTTCCACTCCCAGTTTGGAGATGAATTGCCATGTTGTGCCGCGATCGAGCCTCAAGCACGCAGAGTTGGGTTTAGGGCGGCCATTCGCCATGGCTGGCTCTGACTCAGGAGGCACGTCTTGAGCCGATCGCGTGGCAGTTTATAGGCATGAGCATGAGCCCATGAACTCATCACGGCTGTGGCCCACGGCACAGGGATCCGCAAAATTGTTTGAAACATGCGATCACAGATTTAGACTCTTTAGTCAACGAGAGTAGCTGCAGGAGATGCGTCGGAGGAAGACACCAAGTCGAGCTTGGAAGGACAGCGCAAAGGTGCCCCAGAGGGGCCACCACAGCAGAATGTTTTTCAGGTGGCTCAGATTTGTTTCAGATATCTTGGCGTCGAGCCTGCACTGATGCTAAATGACGAAACGACGCCCCCGCGCTCACAAATGTGAGGCAATTGTGCTTGACCGCATAGACACGTGGCTCGGCTCGTTCTATAGTGTAGTTCCACATAAGGTGGTGGACCTTCCCCTCTTCCCATACCTGTGCAATCCTGTCCTGCAAGGAATCTTTTCCTGGCTAAGCCCGAGATTCTCTGGAAGCCACCTGGTGCTCGGGCAGTTTTTGGCGGTCAGGCACAGCTCCCGAAAGTTTCACAAATTCCTGTCTTCAACCACGAAGCTCAGTGCCAAGCGTAAAGCGACTCTCTTGAGCCTCACAGAGCACACAAGGGGAGTTGCAGTGAAATCTTGCACTCCGTGCCTGCGTGATCCGTGTGCTCTCTCCTGCAGGTTCTGGGCCAGTCCCTGGCTGCTGCCAGCCAGACCGTCGTGGCTCAGATTGCAAGAGGTCGTACTGCCACGCCTCTACTAGCTATTCCTGCGGCATTCGCTGCGCCTCCCGCCCTATGTGGTACTTCATGTGCTCTGATCCCAAGAGTAGCGTGCCTCGCCGCGAGACGACAGAATTGAACTCTCCACGAGGCACCCGGCCTTTCGCTGCACAGCTGCTCGGCTGGAAATGTTAGGCCGCACACGTCTCCCAGCGTCGCAAGGGTTTCCAGGACTCTCTAGTAACTCTAGTATCTGACCCTGCATCGTGGCTTCGTCCTCGCCAGGCGGGAAACAACAAAAGAGAGAATGAGAAGCAGCCTGCATGGCCCCTAAGCCCTGCAGAAAGACAGAAAGCAGCCTGCATGAGGTTTACATGCTTACTTCGTGCGGGCTGGGCAGCCTGAGCATCCCATTGTGTATGCTGCGAGCTTAGCTGCAGGGAAAACAATCGATTTACATGGCACTGTAAACGTGAACGTGTGCCTGCTTTATCACACGGGATAGAAATCCTCTCTTCCCCTCTTCCAGAGGGTCTGATCTTCTCTTATCTCGCAAGGACATTAGTCGAGTTCGAGATGGAAACAGCTTTGCCACGCGTTCTGTGGCAGCCCGTCAAAAGGGAGAATGGCTTCTCTGCTCCACTAGTAAGACGATAGTACTAGTGAGGCGAGGAGAAACACAGTGGTACGACAGCAGCGGTAGAGGGCTGTGCCCCTCAGGATCTTCACCATGCAAGCGAGCTTCCAGCGTCCCGAAGGCCGCTTCTCTGCAAGGCATTGAAGCGGTTTGCCGCCGACGTCACTTCAGGGGCCGTTTGTCTGCGGCGTGATGTTACAGGAAACGGGGGGATCACCAGACACCAGACCTTTCGTCTGCGAAATTGTGGACAAGGATATTCGGTGTGCCATCAAGCCCGGATGCCAGACGTTCCCGATCCCGAATCTCTGCCGACGGCATCCCGGCTGCCTGAGAATTTGGGTACCAATCATTTATTCTCGTTTTCTAGAAACGGTCGGTTTCAATTCTCGTAGCTCTCTGTCTCTCTCTCGCGCGGCCCGAATCTGGCCGGCATTTTCGTGTGTGCCAGAGCCAAGGAAGAGGAAAGATTTACGAAGCTCCTGCATGATCCAGAGATCCAGCCGTTGGCAAAGTGGATTCTGAGTCATAGGAAGGGCCCCCCTCGATGTCGCTGTAGCCTCTGATTTGAAGTTTGCTGTTTCGGCCAGGAAAAAGTATGTCAATCCGATTGATGTCCGAGTTGTTCTCGACTCACTCAATTGGCCAGGAGCTTGCTTCCGAACTTTAGAAGGCCTTGATAGGGTCAGTTCCAGATCCTGTCCTGAGGCATACGGAAGAAGCAAAGCAGATGCGAGTGAAGTACGCTCTATCGGGTTTGGGAATGCCGTCTCAGCTGCTTTGGTTTCGAGTCCGTGAGCGATTGCCTGATGACGAGCCTTGGCTTCTCAGTTCTCCATTCGTCGAAACTCCTCCAAGCCCGTGCATAACATGTTTCGGGTGGTCCATGGTGGTCCCCTCTATGCTTTCTTGCCGATTCTTGCTGTTTTTGCCTGAGCCTTGTTGCGTGCGAACACCGGGGGTGACATCAGTTTTCACTGTCATGTAGTCACATATTATATATGCTAGCAAGAGTAATTTGCAGCAGCTGTGGTTGTGGTGGTGGTGGTGGTGGTGGGGCTGGGGGGGTGGGGGGGCGGGGGTGGCGGTGGCGGTGGCGGTGGCGGTGGCGGTGGCGGTGGGGGTGGCGGTGGTGACGGTGGTGGTGGTTGGCGCGGTCGTGATTGTAGGAGGAGTAGGAGTAGGAAGAGGCGTAGTAGCCGCAGTATTAGTAAAAACAATAAAACCAGTATTGGCAGTAGCAGTCGCAGTCGCAGTAGCCGTAGAAGTAAGAGGAGAAGTAGTAATAGTAGTAGTAGTAGTAGTAGTAGGAGGAGGAGGAGGAGGAGTGGGAGTAGGAGT